GCAATTAAAAAGGAAAAAGAGTGAGGGTTCAGGGCTCTTTGTGCGATGACAAGTCTAGGGGAAAGGAATTCAAACAGAGGAATCAGGAAGGCAAAAGTTCCCAAGTAAGAAAGAGTTTGGTGTCTAAGGAACACGGAGCAGGGAGTGTGGTATGAGATGGGGCTGAAGAGTGGGCAGGGCCACATCACGCAGGGCCTGGGGCAGCGGCAGGGAATTGGATTTTGTTATGGTGCCTTGGGGAAGCTACTGCAGGCTTTAAGCAGGAGAGTGACATCATCTGATTCATGCTTTTAAAAGCTCACTGGCAGCTGTGTCCCTCCCTCTCGCTTGCCACCGAATCCACAGGGCCTAGCACTGCCCTTGGCCCATAGTGAGTGTTCAAATAATACGTGTTGAATGAATGCGTACCCCTGACTTCTTGTGTGACCTGGGGGGTCACTGCTCTCTCTGGACCCAAAGCGAGCGGGTGGGGATTTCACACCACTGTCGGCGGGGAGGATTGGATTTACGCTACTCTGCTTCCCCATGCGACTCCGGAGACCCGAGCCCCGTATCCCAGAGAAGGGAATGGGGACCCTACCTCCGGAGGACCACGGCCAACGCCCGGCGGCCCCGCCCTGCCTTGGACGCTCTCCGAAGGATGCTGCAGCCTCAGGGGCGGGACCCGCAGGCGATCGCCGGCGCCCCCCGCGCGGATTGGGTACAGCAGTGACCGGCACCGCGCGATTGGTCGGTCTGGAAACAGAGGCGAGGCCTTGCTCCTGCACCCGGACAGTGGGGAATGCGGCCAGAGCCCGGGAAGCTGCTGCTCGGGGGATGGCTGCGCCCAGCCCGGGGCCCCGCGAGGTACGTGCAGACCCGAAAGAGGAAGGAGAGGGAAGGGTTGGGGAGGCAGGGGACGGACCTCACCTCCCCTAGCGGCGCCGACACGCCCCCCATCCGAGCCCGGGAGGGGCCCTGCACTGGGCACTAGGACACGCCCCATTTGGGGCCGCAGGTATGAAGCGGTGCTGGTGCTTGGGTCGGGGGGGGGGGTGGTTCCGACCCGTGTCCCGCAAGAACTTCCTCAGGTTCCTCCTTGGGAACATGGAGATGGTAATAGAAGCCCCTCCCTCATAAGGCTCTTTGGAGGTCGAGCTCTCAGACAGTACTGGGTGCCCACTACTGCTGATGGGGCAGCTGGTATGAACTCAGCCTGGTGCTGACCCTCCGCTCTGGCCTTGGCACACATTAACAGCTCAGCAAGGACGAGTGGAACAGACCACCAGCATCACAGCTCCCACTAGCAAGGGTTCCTGTGCCTGGAGCTCAAACTCAACAATGTTATAATACCTGCCTCCACGGTGTTAAAATTCCCACTTTACAGATGAGAAAATGAGGTGCAGAAATGTTAAATGACTTACCTAAGGTCACACAACTGGTGACAGGCTGGTCAGTTTTGGGCAGGTTTGACTGCAGAACACATGGTGTGTTCCAGCATTATCCCTGGAAAAACTAAGGCAGAGAGAGGTAAGGGGAAGGCTCATGAAGAGTGGAGGTGGGATTCAAACCTGTGCTGTCCAAAGTCTGGGTCTTACTTCCTGTACCTCCCCCCACCAGGTCCTGGCCTGCTCCCCAGAAGTCAGACGCAAAGCAGCTGCCTCAAGCTCCAACCGCCGCGGCCTTCTCTGGCGCTTGAGAGATAAGCACTTGCGCCTGGGCCTGTTTGAGATTGGCCCAGGCCATGAGCTGCACGGGTTGACATGCATGATGCAGGCAGGGCTGTGGGCTGCCACCCAGGTGGCCATGGACCACCCACCCATGGTGAGTGGACAGTCTGTCCCAAGCAACCCACAGCACTGATGGCAAGGCTGGGCTGATGCTCTGTCCCTGCTAATAGCACTGAGCTGGGATCAGACAGAGTCATCAAGAAGGGCAGAGCCAGGTACACATAGAGGGGCCTTCTGCAGTGGGAGCTGAGGCCAGAGTATGTTCGTACTTGTGAAGAAACTCTTGACCCAGCTGGTTGCTGTGTGACTCTAAGTGGACCTCTGCCTCTATCTGGACCTGTGTCTCCTTCTGTATAATAGGGGTGGGGTATGTAATCCTTGGTCTCTGAGGCCCTCCCAGCCCTATCAGGGTGCATGGTTGAGAAGGGACCCACCCCCACCCTGCTGGCTTCCTCCCTCCTCCCTGGAGCTCAGGCTAGGACCAGGCTGGCTCAGCAGAAAAGGTCACTGAAATGCAAGCTCAGCAGCTGAGCGGGCCTGGGTGAGTGTGTATGTTGTCTGTGTGTGCACATGTACACAGTGTGACCGCAGGCCTGGCACAGGAACCTGGAGGTCCAGGGATATTTTGAGAGCCAGAGACAAAAAAAAGAAACCCTATAGGAAGACCGAAGAAGAGTTGATGGCTTTTGAGTTGTGGTGTTGGTGAAGAATACCATGGACTGCCGCAAGAACAACAAATCTGTCCTGGACGAAGTGCAACTGGAATGCTCTTTGGAAGTGAGACTGGCCAGACTTTGTCTCATCCACTTTGGTCATGTTGTCAGAAGGGATCATTCTCTGGAGAAGAATATCATGCTTAGTAAAGTGGAGGGTCAACAAAAAAGGGGAAGGCCCTCAAGGTTGACACAGTGGCTGCAACAATGGGCTCAGGTACAGCAAGGATTGTGAGGCTGGCACAGGACCGGGCAGTGTTTTGTTCTGTTGTCCACAGGGTTGCTATGAATCCAAGCTGACTCGATGGCACCTAACAACAACATAGGGTTTCCAAGTCTGTAAATCTTTGCAGACATAGACTGCCAGCCACTTTTTTCTCTCACAGAGCGGCTAGTGGGTTCAAACTTTTTGGTTAGCAGCTGAGTGCTTACCCACTGTGCCACCAGGGCTCTTTTGAGGGCCAAAGGGAGCCCTCATCACCTCATCACCTGCTGAAAAGCTTTTATGGCTCTCCAGGACCCTCGGGATGGAATTCTGGGTTCTCAGCATAGCCTCAGGGTCCTGCTGTTTCAAGCCCAAGGGCCAGCTGTCCAGCCTCACTCAGACTCCATCCCTCACTTACTCTCTTCCTTTCCTGGTGAACACCAACATTGTTCTTAATGGCATGCACGCCCTGCCCCCTTCTCTCCATCATCTTTCAGACTTCAGCTTAGAGGTCTAGGAAGCCTTCTCTGACCCCACTCCTCCCAGGCTGGGTCAGGCCATCTCCTTGTAACAGGGATGGGGTCTGGTTTCACTTGGCCAACATGTGTGCCTGGAAGTGTGTGCAATATCCTGTGTACCTATCTCAGGTACCCCCACTGTCCCTGTTTGCTGAAGGAATCAAATTAGGGGAAGGGAGTGAGATGAGGTACAGACTTAGCTCCCTCCTCCCCTAGTCCAGATGCTTGGAGATCCTGGGGCAGTCAGTGGAGGGCTGAGACATTCTCCTCCATCCCTCCTTATAGGGGCCACCCAGTGAAGAGGATTTTGTGGAAGTCCTGACCCAGGTTCATGAGGTAAGAACCCCAAGATTTTTTTTTCCCTGTAATTTCACTTTCTACTTCACTTTATCCTTTACTATTTAACATGTACCATCTTTTTTATATATATATTTAATTTTATTGTGATTTGGGTGAAAGTTTACAGAGAAAATTCATTTTCCAAACAGCAGTTTATACACATTTTGTCTCTTAACATTGCCTGCTGTTCCCCACAATGTAACAGCTCTCTTCCACTTCCTCCCTGTAGTTACTTCTTCCCCGTGTCCTTCCCTCCGATGCGGTGCACTCCTGCCCCCTGAGCACTCCTGCCCCCTGAGCCGTCTCCCTGTGCAAACACATCCCTTCTGTTTTCCCATGATTGATCCCTCCAGGGAGTGTATCAACCTGGTGTAAATGTCCACCCCATATGCCTGTCTATTGTTTGGCTGGAAGCCACAGGAGGAAGCCCAAGACTCTTGCATAGGAGGGGATGTGTACCTACCTTTCCTCTCTCTCCTCAATTTTCCCCCATCTGTGCACTGGGAGTGATGGCTTGCCTTAGGGTCTCGAAGGAAGGGTGTGTGGTCACCCTGACCCTCTGAACAGGGGCTATGTTCGCACACGCAGCCCTCATGGATGCTCTTGTGGCCACTTTCCCTCCCACACAGGGCTTTGAGCTGGGCACCCTGGCAGGCCCGGCCTTCGCCAGGCTGCGCCACTCCCTCGGCCTGTCTGAGGAGGACTATCAGGCTGCTCTGGGCCCTGGCAGTCCCTACCTGCAGTTCCTCAGCACCTCCAAGAGCAAGGCCAGCTTCTTCCTGTCGTGAGCAGGCGGCAAGGGTGGGTCGTGGGTGGCAGTTTTCTGAGGGGTGGAGGAAGACTCCTTGAGCATCTAGAGTAGGAGAGGGTCAGGGGCAGATGGAGGTCAGATGCGGACAAGAAAGACTGAGGGTGAGGGGCCCAGGCTGAAGGGTGGCGGGAAGATGGATCCTGCCAAGCCCGGGCAGGAAGACAAGACAGGTAGGAGCAAGTGCCCAGTGAGGGCCACTCCAGCTCCGCCTGGGCTGTGTCCTCTCCCTCCCGCCCCCAGCCACGACCAGCGCTTTTTCCTGAAGACACAACGGCGCCAAGAGGTGCAGGCCCTGCTCGCCCATCTGCCGCGATACGTGCAGCATCTGCAACGGCATCCGCACTCGCTGCTCGCACGGTTGCTTGGTACGGCCGGCCTGGGATCTGGAAACCCGGGATCAGGGGTAGGGGTTTGGGGGAGGACGAGAGGGGAGGGAGCCAGGAAGTGGGTCAGTCCCGAGGCTTGGCCGCTGGCTGGAGCAGAGCCCGGACCCGCTAGAGGAACAAGGCTCCGACAGTGGGGAGGTGGGACGTGTAGGGGGACAGGAAGTGGTCCTAGAAGGCAGAGTGCAGGGGTGCGGGTGGGCGTGGTTGGAGTGCGGGGCCAGGCCTGTAGGCGGGGCCCTCCTGAAGGCGGGACGTCTCTGGAGGAATGGGACGGTCTAGAGGCGGGGCTGGGGGGCGGTACCAGGCCCCTCCCTGAGGGAGGTTTCCTGAAGGCCAGGTCTGGAGGCGGGGTTTGAAAGGCCGGGCTCCGAATCCGGTAGCATCTGTGGGCGGCCAGGCCGGGAGGCAGGGCCCTGGAGGGCGAGGTGTCCCTGGGAAGAAGTCTGGATCCAACTGGGACCCGGGCTGAGGGCTGGGTCTGGGAGGGCGAACTTGGGAGGGAGCCGTCCTCAAGGTGGCGTGGCCTGGAGCTGACACCGGGGCGGGATGAACCAGGGGTCTCGGGGTTTGAGACCCTTCGGTTGGCTCTATCTTTTCTTCCAGGAATGCACAGCCTGCGAGTGGCCCAGGGGAAGAAGGTGGGTGCTGAGGCGAGGGCCTGGGCCGGGGAGGGGCAGCTGGAGGGTGAGCTCCTGGCCTCCCTCACGCCCCGCCCCGCCCCGCCCCCAGAAATACTTCATCGTCATGCACAGCGTGTTCTACCCCCCCGGCCGCATCTGCGAGAGGTGAGTCTAGCGGGGAGCCCGCCCACAGGGCGGCGCGGCACCCGGAATCTGCCACCGGAAGCACCCACCCTCACTCTGTAGACTGCGAAACTGGGGCCCAGGAAGGGGGCCGTAGTCTCTTAGTGGCTCAGCCAAGGTGACCACTGCAAACATTAGTGTGAGCGCTCAGTGTGCTAGGCGCTGTGTTTAGCCATTTCCATTCTTTATCTCCTTATCTCCCAGAAAAATACTGGTGGGGGGTGTTTGAGGTGGTGATGGTGTGCCTTGGAGTTGACTCTGACTCATAAACCAAAAAAAAGAGAAAAACTCACTGCCTTCAAGTCGGTTCACACTCATAGCGACCCTCTTTGGGTTTCCTGACCCTCTTTGGGTTTCCAAGGAGGTAAATCTTTATGGAAGTAGATTGCCTAGCCAGCCTTCCACGGAGTGGCTGGTGGGTTTGAACCACCAACCTTCTGGTTAGCAGTCAGATGCCTTAGGCACGGCACCACTAGAGGCCTTGGCAACCCTATAGGGCAGAGTAGAGCTGCAAAGCTTTTTGGGGGCTGTCATCTTTACCGGAGCAGACTGCCGCATTTTTCTCCTGTGGAGTAGCTGGTGGGTTTGAACTGCCCACCTTTGACTGGTGGCAGGGTGCCACCAGGGCTCCTCTGTGTTGTTACCATTCCCGTTTATAGAGGAGAAACTGAGGAAGAGGAGGGCCACACAGCTAATAAGTGAGGGAGGAGGGATTCGAACCCAGCCTCTCTTGACTGCTCATTGCCTGCTGTGCCTCCCAGCCCTGGCTCTGCCCACAGCCTCTCCATTAGGGCCTCCCCCGCCATTGGCTTTCTTCAAGGCCTCCTGACGCTGTAGTCTGGGGTTGGATTCCTTGTGTGTAGAACACTCCCAAGGGTGATGGGGCTGAGAGGCAGGGGTAAAGTCTGGGCTGGGCTTCCAGAGGTCTGAGCTTGAGTCTCTGTCCTACCACTTACTGTCTTGGGGAAGTCATAGAAACCAGCCTGAGGTTCTTCATGTGTAACATGGGAATGAGAATCGAATGGGGTCATGCTGAGGATGAGAGCTGACTTCTGTAATGGGATGCGTGTGTACATGAAGTCACCCGGTGAAAGCTCTCATTTATTACCTGTGGGGTTCTCTGTGTGTCTCAAAGTGTGTGTAAGGCTGAATTCTGTCCTCTCACCCAGGTACGACATCAAGGGCTGCGAGGTGAGCCGCTGGGTGGAGCCAGCGCCCGAGGGCAGCTCCCTTGTCCTGGTGCTAAAGGACCTCAACTTTCAGGGCAAGACCATCCAGCTGGGTGAGCCATGGGGCAGGCGATTACTGACTGCTCTTCCTCCATTCAGGGTGAAGTTTAGAAGGGTGGCCTTGGCTCTGACTTCTGCCCTGGTGGTCAAGAGCCTAGATTCTAAAGTCAGGAAGAAATGACTCCAACACTTACAAGCTAGGCAAAGCAGGCAAACTATAGCTGCGTTTCTTCATCTGTGAAGTGGGGCAATCATGACAGATGTGTGTGGAGCCCTCAGCACCACGCCTGGTACATAGGGGCCGCTCAGGTAGAGGCACTGATGTTCCCGCAGGGCCCCAGCGGAACTGGCTTCTCCGCCAGATGGAACTGGACACCACCTTCCTCCGGGAGCTCAACATCCTGGATTACAGCCTCCTGATGGCCTTCCAGGGTCTCCATGAGGACGAGAGGGGCCCAGGCAGCAGCCTCATCTTCCGCACAGCCAGGTGGGCCCCCCTGGGGAGAGAGGCAAGAATGAGGTGATGAGAGTGTGCCAAGGACACCTGGTGAGGTGGGGGAGTGCCTTCCCTGTGTAACCAGGGCTTGAGGACGGGAAAGTGCAGAGCACTCGGGTGAATGTGTGTGTCCACATGTGTGTGTATGTCTGTAGAGTGTCAGGCTGGAACAGCCTAGCTATTGGAGACAGTGGGCACAGGTGGGCCACAGCAGGGGCCAAGACAGGAAAGGTCAGTAGGCAAGGATTTGGTACTGATTTGAAAAATCTGCCCATTTTCCAGCGGGGGATGTGGAGCCCCTGAAAGTTCTGGGGCTGTAGAAAGAGCCCTTGTCCCTGAACACAGTCACTTCACTTCTGGCACCCTGAGCTGAGGAGCCTAAGGCCATCACTATGTTGTCCTCATCTTTGTAGTAATAACTGTCCCTCTTTGCATGTTGGCCGTGAGCCTCATTGAGAGGGTAAGCACATTCCCATTTTAGGGAAGTGGAAACTGAGACAGAGAGGGGACGTTGCTTGTGTTACTATATTAGTTGGATTTCAGTTCTCTGAGGTCCACTGTAGTGGTTGAACAGAATTACATGGGAGTTAAGACAGACACTTCAAGAAAAGAATCTCATTTATCAGATGGGTGAACAAGAGAAGTGAGAGATGAGGTCCACTCACCCAGCCCTCCATCCCGACCCCTTGGGAAAGAATTTGGGATGGCTGAGGCCTACGCAGACTCTAAAGCAATGGCTCCCCATGCCGCCTGTGGCTGGGCAGGGCACTTTCCGATGGGCTGGTAGAATGTCAGCCTGGGGAGGCAGAACCAAGTCTGTCCATCCAAGCTATGTCAGCTTCTCCCCTCCCTCGCCCTCCAGGCTGGTGCTTAGGTCAGGGTTGTCGTTTGACCAGTAGGCACTGATTCCCACAGGCTCCTTGTTAATATATTGAAACATAGTGTTAAGTAGCCACTGCTCCAGCCCCATCTCCACCCCAGTTCCCAGCCCCCTTGCTCAGAACCAACCCTACCCTCTATCAGCCAGCAGCTAGCTGGTTAACACCTGCAAGGCAGAATACTAAGGCCCTGCCCCTGCTCTCAGCGCCTCAGACCAATGGGTTCTGATTGGTCGGTGCTTGTGAGGGTTTGTCTCTCATTGGCTTACTTTCTCCCAAGACCTGGGTACAGATCTTGCCTTCAAAGTCGATTCTAACTCATGGCGCCCCCATGTGCTTCAGTGTAGAACTACACTCCATAGGATTTTCAATGGCTGTAATTTTACCAAAACAAAAAGTGCCTGGATGGTGCAAGTAGTTTAAAGGTTGTAGTTTTTTTTTTTAAAAAAAAACATTTTATTGAAATATAATTTATGTACAGTGAAATATATAAAACTAAAGTGACATGGGTCAATGCCTTTTTTTTTTTTTTTTTGCAGTGTTTCCTCCCACCCTCTCCCCTCCTACCCCTGGTAACCAACAAAGACAGTTTCCTTCCACACATAAACTAAAAGTAGTTTGAACTCACCCAGCAATGCTGCAGAAGAAGGTCCTAGAAATCTACTTCCATAAAGATCACAACCAAGAAGATTCCATGAAGCAACCCTGTAATACATGGGTGTAATACATGGGTGTAATACATGGGTGTAATACATGGGTGTTCACCATGACTTTGAATCAATTCAGCAGCAACGGGGCCTTCTTTTTTTTTGCTTTTATTGTGGTGAAAACATACACAAGACATTCGCCAACATAACAACACTCACATTTACAGCTCAGGGACACTGAGGATATTTTTCATGTTGTGCTACTATTGCCGCTGTCCTTTTCCAAAATATTCCACCACCATTAGCATAAACTCAATGCCCTGCAAACAAAAGCTTTTCCCTTCCCCCTCCCTCCTACCCCTGGTAACCAGTAATAATCTTTGCTAACCAGTAATGATCCTAGATAGGTTTGGGAAAGCAAAATTTTATATATATATAT